CACCAAGCACTTGGGGCCAAACTCGGGGTCATACGACGGGGAGGGCGTCCATCCTCGACCGAGGGGGGCGCGTCCGCATAGCTCCCCGCGGGCGGAGCTCGGGGAGTGGGGCGGGCAGTCGCCTGCGGCACTGGGCGCCAGCCCCAGCAGTCCCGCGCGCAGATCGACCTACGGGCTCTCTCCTCCTACGGGCAGCCGCGCTCGTCTCACGCGCTCTGCCCTTTGCCTACGACGTGCACCGAGGCAAAGGCTCGGGCCCCCCTGCACCGGCCTCGGCCCTCCTGCACCCCTCCGGTTCCCAGACAATGAGCGACACATGCTTGTGTTGGCCCATCCCCCGTTCTTGCCATATCCCCAGTCTCCGTCCGTCCTTGTCAGCCCTCCTTCTGAAGCGGTGTGGGATCAAACCGTCGCTTTGCAGATGCTATGCATCCTGCAGTGGTCTCGGCCAAGTGCTTCTTCCAGAGACGCGGGCATCAAGGAGTATCAGAGGACCAAACAATGGAGCGCAACTTTGCAATTGTTACGCTATGCGTCTCAACTGTCTCTTTGAACACTCGAAAATGCAGTAGGAACACATTAAAACGCACGATGCCCAACGGCGAATGTTGTCCCCAAGCGCCAGCGGGCGCTCTTCAGCATATGACGTTTGTCCCAAAATATGCAAAGTCCGCATTGGCACTGACAACGAGTCCTGTCCAGAATGGACAAGGCCCACTGCTGCTCATCGTCCTCACCCGTCCCGTCCATATCGGGCCGATCCTTATAATGACCCTACCCCCTTCTCGGGGGTTGCTGGAGGTGCCCCTGGCCCAAGGTGCCCCCAGCTTTTCGCTCCATTCTGGAGCCCCTGGGGCCCTCTGGGCCTCGTGAGGGATGCTCTGGAGGCCGTGGGGGCCTCCATAAAAATCCCACCAGCCCTTTGGGCGTGAGTGGTTTAGAGAGCCCGCTCTGTTCTCACCCCCCCTTCTTCCCCTGCGGGGAGGGGTTTCCCCCTCCCCCTACCCCCTACCCCTGGGCCTGGAGAGGTCCTTTCGCGGGTCGTTGGGGGGGTCTTTTTTGACTCCTCGGAGGGCTAAAAAACGACACCCCTCACGAGGACTCTGGCCCCGACGGGGGGGCCCAGAAAAAAAACCCTCTCCTCTTCTTTGAAGCCAAACTCATAGATTTTACTACGGTTTTGGCCCCATTTTGGCCTTCTGAGGGTGCAGCGCTAATTAAAGTTCCCCTCTTCTTCCAAGCCAAATCCTTGATTTTACAGAAAGGTTGTGGCACCATTTTGCCCTTCTGAGGGGGCAGCGCTAACAAGGGGCACGCGTGCCAAGGATCATACAATGACGATGTGGGTCCATGGGAGATGGAGAAAACCAGGGATCGCGAGGGAGGCAGTCCTTGGCAGGCGCCGGGGAGCGTGCCGCAATTGCTGCGACACGTTGGCAAAGGACAGATTCGAAGACGGGAAGGGGCGGCTAGAAGCACGTCAGTTTGGGTATGGAGGAAGGTCGCTTGTCCTCTGTCTCGTCCTCCTCCCCCTCCTCACCTCCACTTTCTCCTGTCCCGCCTCTCTTCCTCCTCCTGGTTCTCGACCTCCTCCTTGTCCCCCCCCTCTCTCCACCTTCTGGGGCGGTGCGGCGCGTGGCGGCGGAGTCGCCCTCGCCGTCGGCATGCGGCCGGGCACGCTGCGTCCTCGTCCTCCTCCTTCTCGTCCTCCTCCTCCCCCTCCACCTCCGCCTCCTCCCCCTCCCCCTCCGCTTCCTCCTCCGCCTCACCGTCCTCGCCTCCGACCCGAGGCTGGCCCAGGCAACTCATCCTCGCCTCGGGCCCGAGGCTCGCTCACCGAGCGGCGGGCGGCGGCGAGCTTCCCGGCCGCCTGGCCTGTCCGCCGGGGTCGCCTCGGAAGGGTCCCAGAGGCCCAAGACGGTCCAAGAGGCTCCAAAGAGGCCTCCAAGACAGCCCAAGAGGCCTTCAAGAGGTCGTCTAGGAGGGCCCGAAGAGGCCAAAATCATTGATTTTCTTTGGGTTTGGGAAGGATTTGGTCATTTGCGCCTTTTCGGCTTTCCGACGGTCCAAGACGGCCCAAGAGGCCCACGAGGCGCAGGGGAGGAGCGGGGGGGGGCCCACGGTCGGTCGGAATAAAGGGGAGGGGGGCGCAGGGGAGGAGCGGGGGGGGTGGCCCACGGTCGGTCGGAATAAGGGGACGGGGGCGCAGGGGGGGAGCGGTGGGGGGGCCACGGTCGGTCAGAATAAGGGGAGAGGGGCGCAGAAGAGGAGCGGGGGGAGTGGCCCACGGTCGGGCGGAAGAAGGGGACGGGGGCGCAAGGGGGGAGCGGGGGGGAACGCAGTCGGTCGGAATCGGTCGGAATAAGCGGAGGGGGGCGCAAGGGGGGAGCGGAGGGGGTGGCCCACGGTCGGTCGGAATAAGGGGAGGGGGGCGCAGGGAGGGAGCGGGGGGGGTGGCCCACGGTCGGTCGGAATAATGGGAAGGGGGCGCAGGGGAGAAGCGGGGGGGGTGGCCCACGGTCGGTCGGAATAAGGGGAGGGGGGCGCAGGGGGGGAGGGGGAGGGGCCAGCACGACCACCAGCACGACCACCAGCACCTCCACCAGAACGGCCAGCAACACGACCGCGAGCACGACCACCAGCACGACCACCAACACGACCACCAGCACCTCCAGCACGGCCAGCCACCAGCACGACCACCAGCAGAACCACCAGCACGACCACCAGCACGACCACCAGCACCTCCACCAGAACGGCCACCAACACGACCGCCAGCACGACCACCAGCACAAGCACCGGCACGCCCAGCCACCAGCACGACCACCAGCACAACCACCAGCACGACCACCAGCACGATCACCAGCACGACCACCAGCACCTCCACCAGAACGGCCACCAACACGACCGCCAGCACGACCACCAGCACAAGCACCAGCACGACCACCAGCACGACCACCAGCAAGACCACCAGCACGACCAGCCACCAGCACCTCCAGCACGGCCAGCCACCAGCACGACCAAGCACGACCACCAACACGACCACCAGCACCTCCAGCACGGCCAGCCACCAGCACGACCACCAGCACAACCACCAGCACGACCACCAGCACGACCACCAGCACGATCACCAGCACCTCCACCAGAACGGCCACCAACACGACCGCCAGCACGATCACCAGCACAACCACCAACGCGACCAGCCACCAGCACGACCACCAGCACAACCGCCAGCACGACCACCAGCACGACCACCAGCCCAGCACGACCACCAGCACGACCACCAGCACGACCAGCCAGCAGCACGACCACCAGCTCGACCACCAGCACTTCCCAGCACGACCACCAGCACAAGTACCAGCACGACCACCAGCACGACTGCCAGCACCTCCACCAGAACGGCCAGCAGCACGACCACCAGCACGACCACCAGCACGTCCACCAACCACGACCACCAGCACGGCCGCCAGCACAACCACCAGCACGACCGCATTATGGGCACACGGTCGGTCGAAATAAAGCAGTGCGAGATCACACCGGTAGGTATGATGATTAAAGCTCCCCTCTTCTTTGATCGATTCCCTCCAAGATGGCCCCAAGAAGCGCCCAGGAGGCACCAAGAGGCCCCAAGATGGCCCCAAGAGGCCCCCAGGAGGCCCCCAAGAGGCCTCCAAGAGGCCCCCAAGATGCCCCCAAGAGGCCCCCAAGAGGCCCCAAGAGGCTCCCCCGAGGCACCCAAGACGCTCCTGGAAGCCCCTGGGGCCGCCAAGAGGCCCCCAAGACGCCCCAAGCGGCCTCCAAGAGGCTCCCAAGAGGCCCGAAGAGGCTCCCCCAAGGCACCCAAGACGCTCCTAGAAGCCCCTGGGGCCGCCAAGAGGCCCCCAAGACGCCCCAAAAGGGGACGAGGTGCCCGAACGCCTCACGCCACGAGGAGCCCGAACGACTCACACCAGGACGAGGGGCCCGAACGACTCACACCACGAAGAGCCCGAACGACTCACACCACAAGGAGGGGCCCGAACGACTCACACCAGGACGAGGCGCCCGAACGACTCACACCACGAGGAGCCCGAACGACTCACACCACGACGCGGGCCCCGAACGACTCACACCACGAGGAGCCCGAACGAGTCACACCAGGAGGAGGGGCCCGAACGACTCACACCAGGACGAGGGGCCCGAACAACTCACACCACGAGAAGCCCGAACGACTCACACCAGGACGAAGAGCCCGAACGACTCACACCACGAAGAGCCCGAACGACTCACACCAGGAAGAAGGGCCCGAACGACTCACACCAGGACGAGAAACCCCAAACGACTCAAACCACGAGGAGCGCTTTCTCTCCCTCCTCCTCCGCCTCGTCCTTCTCCCGCTCCACCCACAAGGAGGATGTACAAGGAGGCGGGAGGAAGGAGGAACAGGGGAGATATGCGGGGGCAAGCGGACACACGCCTGAAAAACACGACTGTCGGCATGCTTCGCAAGAGTCGCTGTTGTGAGATGGGCTGGTGGGGATACGCGAAGCGTAAAGAATTCTGGAAGCACCCCTGACCACAGAGGTCTGGATCCCCTCCCCGGGACCGGTGCCTCCTCCCGAACCGTGTTCTGACGCTCCCGAGGCACGGTAAAGGGCCCCCGGGAGGCCGAACACGGCGAAACACCTCCCGTCGTGATTTCTCAGGGCGAAAGACGCTGAAACGGCCGACAACGGCGGAACACTCGGGCCGTGGGGCACTTCTGGGAGGAGGAGGAGGAGGAGGAGGAGGAGGAAAGGGAGGAGGAGGAGGAGGAGGAGGAGGAGGAGGAGGAGGAGGAGGAGGAGGAGGGAGGAGGAGGGGGAGGAGGAGGAGAAGGGGGAGGAGGGGGAGGAGGAGGAGGAGGAGGAGCACCCGGACCTCCTGCGCGCCGCCAAGGCTGGGGCGGCCGAGCGACCCCCCCGCGCGCCGAGGGCCCGAAGCCCGGCGCCCCCTCGCCACCGTGCTGCCCGGCGGCGCGGGCCTCACTGCTGGCTGCACTGCTGCGAGCCGCTGCGGCCCATGCACTCCGGCCGCCCCGGCGAGAACATGCAGCCCTCGCCGACTCCCTCTCTTCCCCCTCCCTCCCTCCCTCTCTCTCTCTCTCTCTCTCCCTCACCGAGAGTTCCCGTCGCCTTCTTCTGCTGGACCCTGCTCCTCTCGTTTTGTTTTGCCTGCTGGGCTTCGCCGCCGCCGTCTCTTCTCGGGCAGTTCGGCGCGGATCGAGCCCGGGGTGTGCTCGCAGCTCCGTGCGTGACGCAACCTCTCGTTCTCCCGAGAGGCTCGAGGTTTGCCCGCGGTATCAGCAGCAGCGGTCGTTCGCAAGTAAGGACTCTCTGAGATCTTGATGCAGTACGGCCCCACGTGGGCAACGCGGAGCCAGGGATCGCGCTCCATCAGATGCACGCTCTGCGTATTTCCATAAGCACAGCAAGGATTTTGAGTTTCGAGTTCGAGTTTCAATTCTATTTCAGTTCTTCTTCCTGCGCGTCTTTATCGATATCACCACGGTTGTTTCGAAGTGTTGGTGATGACGCCTTGTTCCAGTTGCTTCGCGACATTCTAGCAGTTCAGGCTCCCAAATGGAGTCATAGTTTGCTGCAGATGAACGCTCGGACCTGCATGATGATCGGTCCCTACCTGCGGGCGTTGGAGGAGAGCTGGCGACACACACACACACACACACACACACACATCACGAAGAGGGCCGCCGTATGGTGCAGACGGTGCAGTGGCTCACGACTCGATCGGACGCCAGCGACTCGGACGAGGTCCTCCTTGACAGCCCAGGCAGGGCGCCCTGCCCCGACCCTCTCAGGCGGCATGGGTGGACGGACCCGCTCGCGCTCGACGCGGAAGTAGCACATTACTTGATGCTGGACCCGTCTGAGCATACTGGGGTTCGCGAATTCTCGCTCAGCTTCCTCGCGCGTGCTCCAACAAAAAACAGGTTCTGGCTTGTCCCAGGGTGAGTAATTCTGGGATCGTCGTGCGCACCATCACGTCTGTGTGATCACATTATCCACCCTCGTGCTTCACTACCTCATGATCACCCAACACCATCGAAATGAGGCAACGTAAGTACGTGGATGACGTTCTAGGCTTCAGAATTGCCTATTGCATTCAATGCGTGTACATGCACCTTACTATTAGTGGGTGACCACCTTAGTCCATGTATGCGGTTCGTTATGGAACTATGGCCTAAGAGACCCTCTATCTGGACTGCCCCAAATAGTGATAAACGAGTGTGGCTCCTCGAGGACGCCGAAGGTCCCCGCCCCAAGACGAATATCCTGCCCTGGCCTGGTCAAACCCCTCGAGGCTTCAACATGTTGGTGTCGCTGGTTTCTGGGCGTCTGCTTCGGGCTCAGTTCCTAGAGTTGCCCCTTGGGGTCGTGGTCTCCTGGGTCCTGGAGCTGGCTCTGGAGCTTTACACCTGGTGGGGTACACGTCGTCGATCCTCTGTGCAGCAGCTCACGCCTGCCCATGGCCCGTCGCCATCCTGAAGCTCGAGCAGTCCTGCGACGCTGACGTTTTTCATCTGAGACGGACATCGCCATGGGCGGAGGAAAGCATCGACCATCATGGACCTACCGTGGCGGTGATCGCGATGACCAGTAGAGGTCCTACGATGGGCGGTACGATTCCCATCGACGCCGAGAATATCGTGACTGTGATCGGGATCGCGGCACAAATCGACGTGACGACCGAGACCGTCGGGGTGACAATCGAGACCGCCGGGGTGATCGTGACCCTGGTGGCTCGTCCCGTGATGGGCGAGGTTGTGGACGAGACGAGCGTGGGTAACCTCGCGACCGTCGAACCAGGTCCCGCTCCCAGGACAACACCCCGAACGAGGACATCATCAAGATGCGAGGAGGACTTGGCCAAGGCAGACCCACAACACTTAGCATTCCTGAAGAACAAGAAGGAGAGGGCGGAGGAGCTTCGCTTGCAGGCAGGGTGAGTACTTGCTCCATGCGGTGAAGAGCTCGTTCGGAGACAAGGTGGCAAAGCTGTTGGAAGTTACCATGGAGCAGTCTACATCGAGGGTCTCGTCGACGGCGGTGGCGCGTGAGGTATCCCCAACTCCTGTGGCGGAGGCGCCTTCTTCGTCTACGCATCTGCGCAGGGGCTGAGCGTGGGTGGTTGCAGCCTCTATTGGGCACGGAGAAAGCACTACCCAAGAAGGTGACGTGGGGCGATGCTGCCAACACCCTCGAGTCCCTGCTGAGCTCTGGCAAGGGCGTCACCGCGAACGCGATGAAATGAATCCAGGCACGCTGCTCGAGGAAGCGGATACCAGAGCAGAAATCCAGGGCGGTGGCGATGGTACTCTCGATCGTAAACTGCAGCGGCACCTGATCAGACTCAGATGGGGACGCTGACATGAGTTCGGATTGTGAATCCGAGCGGGTAGTACGCTGCTCCCCTTTACGTACAACTTCTTGAGTTCCTCTAAGGGTGGAATCAGCTTCGTGGCAATGTGCTCTCATGTGTTTCTGTGCTGGAGTTTGCACCGTCTTTATCCTGTGGTTGTTCTTCCCCGTGGATGAGTGGATAAATAGGCCAAGTCATGAACGCATGCGTGACTCTCCAATGGACCCGCTCCAGAGATACGTGGTTCCTGCATGAGCTCTCCAGCTCCCTCCACCTCCCCCTCACCTTCGCGAATAGACAAGAGCAACACAATTGCGCGCACACCGATCAAAGGCATGGTAAGCGCTGCAAGCCCCGTGGTGGGAAATCATTTGACTGGCATCGCGATCTCACCGTGACTTCCTGCTCCTCGGGCCCAATCAAGGGAATGGAAGGGGACTCCAACTAGTGACACTCCTGATGGCGTGCGGGGATATCAGCCAGCCCAGAGTTGAGTTTTGGAATTCCCTCCCAATCCATCAGACCCTCCAGTACCTTTGGACCCCTTCTTCACCCTTATCCGGCTCCATTCCGAACCCTCCCTTCTTTTTCCGGCGATCGAGGAATAGGCTGCCGAGCTCCCGTGGGTGCAACACCACCTGGCATTGTGGCGAGGAGCTCTTGGGGGTTTTCCCTCCCTCTTCCTCCGCCTCCTCCTACTATCACCTTGACCTCCTCCCGTTCTGATCCCCTATCCTTGAGGGATGAAAAAACGCCCCTACCCTGGGTTACAAGTGCGTGGTCTGTAAACCTCGGAGCTCCCAGAGGCCAGAGAGCCGCTAGGACGCCGCGCGAAACGCGAAACACGCAGCGTTTACCCTGTCAGCCCACAGGAGGTTCAGTGCACAGCCCCTCGTAAACCAAGGTAAGGGCGGTTCTTAAGCCCTTGACATCCGTTCTTCCAGGACACACGCCTCGGCAGAACCGAAGCTCTCCGTCCCAAGCCACCACGCTGGGGGGATCATACCGTCTCCTTAAGGTCCCCGTCTGCGAGAACGTGCGGACCCACCCCACGGCCGCGCGATGGGCCCATCTCTCTCGTTCTCTTTTTTGTTGTCTCTCTCTCTCTCTCTCTTGGGATCCACAGCGACATACGAATACTATATGTCGTCCTCGGAGGCGCGTGTCCGACCCGAACATATAGTATACCCATCTTGTAGCAGATCGTTTCCCGGGCGATGTGGCCAGAAAGCGCCCGCCACGATGCATATACTATAAGATTCCTCGGTGCGTGCGTCGCCCCTGGAGGGGCGACGCACATATAGTATAAGTATGTTGGAGTGACGCTGATCTCTCTCTCTCTCTCTCCCACCCTGAGAATTCCAATCATCCTACTCCTCTCGTTATTTTTGCTTGCTGGGCTTCGCCGCTGCCGTCTCTTCTCAAACAATTCGGCGCGGATTGAGCCCAAGGCCAGGGTATGCTCGCAGCTCCTTCCGTGATTCCACCTCTCGTTCATCACTAGCAGTGGTGGCACGCAATCAGAGACTCTTTCTCTCTCTCTCTCTCTCTCTCTTTCTCTCCCTCTCTCTCTCTCACTCTCTCTCTCTCTCTCTCTCTCTCTCGGGAGCCCATCGTTGAAAGACGAACGCGCCCAACCACTTGCATGAGCACGGCCCCCCCCATCCGCGAGACCGACCGCGTGATACGAACGTTCGCGCATTGCGTACTCTCGGAACCGACGTGGATTCATGTACGTGCATGCCTTTCTTTCCCTCTCTTTCCCTCTCACTCTCTCTCTCTCTCTCTTGGTGCGCATGAGGGGGAGAGAAGAGAAGGGGGAGGAGGGAAAGACAACCTCAGGTGAACCCTACACCTGCAAGCTAGAGATCTGACAAACGCGGGCGGGGGGTCGGAATAGGAAGGATATCTGCAGCCAGCCGAGATCCTGCGGGGGTGTCCACTACCCCAGCGTCTGCCGGACCCGGGGGGATGATTTCCCACTGTTCGCGGAGACCGCAGAGAGAAGTGGTGGGAGGAGGACAACACTGCCCTCGCCCACCCGGCAGCTTCGTTCGCCTCATCCTCCACCTCCTGCTCCTCTTCCTCCTCGTTCGCCACCCTCTGGAATCCTTGTCCTGTCATCTCCGTCGTCGTCGTCGTCGCCCGCGTGTGGTCGGCGAGGCAGGGGAGGCCCAGGCAGGAGCGCTGAGGGAAGATGGGGCGGGAACAGGGAGGGTGCAGGAAGAGAGGGGGGAGGAGGGGGAGGGAAAGGAGAGAGGGCAGCCCGACCGAGGCGCAGGAGAACGAGGAAGCAGAGCGGACTAGTCGGCGAGAGAGAGAGCGAAAGAGAGAGAGAGCCGGTACGCAAAAGGGCGGGCGGGGGCCTGCGACAGAGAGCGGCTGGAGAGACGAGGTCCTCCTCCTCCTCCTCCTCCTCCTCCCAACTCATCTTCTCCCTCGTCCTCCTTCCCTCTCCTTACTTCGCCGTGGCAAGCATGCTGACCACTCTGGGTTCGCACTGTAGGAGACGGCGGAGCAGGCGGAGTGGCATCCGCTCCGCGTGGAACGGGATCTCATGGGATGAATCATGCAACTTGGCGCGGAGCAGCTCCCTGTTGGACCAACAGGGTTTGACGTCAGAACGGAACTGACACCGCCGAGAACCGTATGTAACATTCGGTATTCCGAAAGGAATTGGAGGTTCATTGGTCATGGAGAGCTCTTGGCGATCTTATATCTATTGTTCCAACTGCTCGCCGACTCCTCCTCCTCCTCCTCCTTCTCCTCCTTGTCGCGCCACAGGGCGTGTGGATAAGTTAAAGCGGACCTGGCCTGTCGCCCGGAACTTCCCGACACACTACTTCATAAACATCAGACTTCCAACACTGTCACCCTCGCGGTCCGAATGCTGACGAAAATGAGAGTCGCTCAGATTGGAAGCAGGCCCTTTTCAAACAGCGCTCTCCAGTCCGACTTCTTCAGAGCTGATGATCCTGAGACCCAAACCTTCCAACAACAGATACACGGATTGAGTGGGACGCCGTTTCACTCACAACTGCGCCCTAGCCTGGGACTTCCCGTCCTGCGTCGTTTCGTATAACAACCCATCTGAGCCGTTAAAGAGACGCATGTAGAAACGTGAAAAGGAAAGGCGGCCAAAAAGGCTGTGTTTAGGCCTCCCTCCTAAAAAGGACGGCAAACGTATGTCCCCCGACCGTCGTAGAAAGGCGCTTGTAGTATATCTGGACCAGTGCATCCAAAAACACATACTGACGACGAACGGCATCTGATTCCAAGAGGGGCGAATCGGAATGAAGGTCCGAAAATCCTGGGCTGCTTCTTCCCGGCGCACCAGTGCATCAGCCAGCCCCGGACCCGACGTCACTGCCGGGCCTCGGGCTGGCCCTGGGGAAGACCCCCGGAAACCCTGCCAGAGCCCCCGGGTGACCCCTCTTCGAAGCCCTGCGGGCCCCACCGTCGCTGCGCGTCTGGGGAGCCCAAATCAGCCTTTCGAGTGAGATGTCCCCACTGCTTCGGCGCGAAAGAGCAAGGGTCCGAGTCCTTGGGCGGCTCCCTCTCGGGATTCTCGAGCGCCGTGCCAGCTATCTCGCGGCCATCGTGGGGCTCTTAAAATAAAGAAGTCGGGAAGCCCAAACCAGAGTTTCGCTTGAGACGTCCCCACAATCTGGGCGCGAACGGGCAGATGGCCTACCCCTGGCAGGTCCCCCTTGGTGTGCCCAATTGCCATGGCTGCCACATCACGGTGATCATACGTGAGCGAGTCTTCTGGGTAATTATGATTGGTGAGTCTGAGTGTGCGTGAGCCTGAGTGTGGTGAGTCTAAGTCTGAGTGAGTCTGAGTCTGAGTCTGAGTGCGGGTGAGTCTGACTGTGAGCCAGTGTGTGTGTGTGTCTGTGTGTGGGTTAGTCTGGATGTGAGCGAGTCTGAGTGTGAGTGAGTCAGAGTGCGAGTTGTAATCAAGCTGAATATAAAAACGTGGACTAAGCGGTGCCTGAGTGGCCCTGAGCGTGTGCAATCTGAGTACAATTGGAGTCTGGATGTGAGCAAGTCTGAGTGTGTGTGAGTATGAGTGGATACGAGAATGAGAGTGAGATGGCGGAGGCGGGAAGGAAGGAGGGTCAAGGTGAGGCGGGGGCATCCCACGAATGACAAAAACCTCACGATTACTTGGGCTTTGGGGACAAGCACTGACCTTCGACCCCTTTTTCCTAACCCATCCTCCAGGAAGCCCTCCCAGATGGGGTCGGCGGATCGCGCCGCATCGCCGATGCATCATCGATGCATCGGCGATGCATCGGCGACGTCGGCGATGCATCGGCGACGTCTGCGTGAAGAACATCGGGCTCCGCACCGAGCCGCATCGCCGATGCATCGGCAGTGCGGCGCGATCCCCCGACCCCAGCTTTTCCGGCCCCATCTGGGAGGCCTAGATCCTCCGAGCCTCCGGGCGGGAGGAGGGCGCAGCAGAGCACCGAGGGCGAAGTGCAGGGGGGCGCGCCTTGTCCTCGCGCTGCTGCAGCGAGTGCTGCTGCCGCCGCCGCGCCGACTGGGGGCGCGGGGCGGGAGCCGAGCCGTCGGGCACGCCCTGCTCGGATGCTACTCGGATGTCCCCAGGGAGGCGACACGGACTCCGGAGCACCCCTCACGAGGACCGCAGGACCCGAAGGGCTTCCAAAGGGAGAGACGAGCCAGGGACATCCTGGGCCAGGGACACCTTCAGCATCCCCCGACAGCCAGGATCTCTTGGGCCGGCGCTGGCGACCCCCTGGCGGCGCCTCCGGCGCCACCCCTGGCGCACTTCACGCGCCAGTGGAGAGGGGTCCAGCGCCAGTCCAAGAAATTCGCGCGGGCAACCGAGAAAGTTTCCGCCATCGTGGGCAACTGTCGCGCGGGCAGTTCAAACATGCTCATACCCCTGCGGCAGCGCGCGGTGGCATAGGCTTTTTGAACCATCCTGGGACAGCAGCCTCGGACGGCGGCAAGGCTTGCGGCAAGACCCATGCGATAAGAGCGCTTGCCATGAGGGACCTGCGGGCACAGCCGTCGTCCACCCTCGACCTTCCTGGGGTGCCCCGAGGCTCCTGCCGCTCCCCACAGCTTTCGAAGGGTATACGAACTCTCGGTGCGGCACCTGCTGGCATGCCGGTTCCTTGCCTCACATGCCACCCGTAATATTCTCCAAACTCCAATTCTGCAAGGGATCACAGCAGACGGACCCGCCCGAGTGCCTCCCACGGCCCGAGGAGCGGGGCGCGGCAGCGCAGCCTCTCTCGAGTAGGGGGTCCAGGCGGGCAAGCAACTCAGGGCTTCGGGCTCGGCCCAGCCCAGTTACTCGTTGGGCAAAGATAGACGAGAGGGGGACGCCACTGGGGGGTCGTCACCTCCCCCGTGAAACGCCACCCTGCCCCCCCCCCGACTGGCGCGACTGGAGCGTCGCCACCTCCCCCAGGACCCCCCCCCCCCTTTGTTCCCCAGGGCCCCCCACGGACCGCGAAGACGTCCAACCAACCCAGCAAAACGCACCCTAGTATCATGAAGAGGCGTGTCGAGGAGTAGGTGGCTGGCGAGTGCAAACATGCATCCCTGCGTATTCCAATGGATTCCTAGAGAACGTTGCAGCCAGGACAGTGGTGCGCGCGGCCATGTGCACCTTACTGGGATTTCTCCCAAGGGTCGTCGCCGTCTGGACCAAGCATGTAGCTGGCACTGAAGCGAGACAGCGACTCCTGTATAAATTGCGAGGGAGGATTGAACGGAACGGCTGCCGGACCGGGATGTCTAGCCAGGCGGTCTAAGGCTTCCCGTCCCCCTGTGCGACTCTCCTGTTTTTTTCTGCTCCAAACCCCTTCGATCTTCGATCCTGCCCCCTCCTCGATCCTCGATTTCTTCGAGGTGCTGATCACCCCCCTTGAGTTTGGTGACCTCTCCCCCTTGGCGCTGCGAGATCTGTAGCAAGGTCCTCGGCGCCGCTCCTCGGCGGCCGAAGCGGGGCGAAGACGCCGCCCGCGGCAGCCTCATCCTGCGGCGCCCGAGCAGGCCTGACTTCGAGGGCCCCCAGAGGCCGAACATACCCCGAAGCCGTCCGTCGAGCTTCTCTTCGCGGCGCGAAGGGGTCTGGAAACGCTGTCCGGGACCTACTGACCTGGGTCAATCCCAACCTGGGCCAGCCAGGCTTGCAGGATCCTGCGAGACCCTGCAGGATCCTGCGCCGAAGCCCGGGTCAATGCAGCCCTGGCCCTGCAGGATCCAGGAAGATCCGACGCCCTTGCTTAGTACCCTGTAGGATCCTGCGCCGAAGCCTGGGTCAAGGCAGCCCTGGCCCTGCAGGCTTCTGGAAAAGCTGGCGCCCTTGCTGATCCCCGTTTGCATTGACCCCGCCTCGTGAGGGGCAACGATATGGGAGATAGGCATAGGGGGGGGGGAAACATCGACCTGGAATCAGCGACGCATCGCCGATGGATCGCCGATCGGCCTCCGATAGTGAGTCCGCACCTTCCTGGACAGGCTGGGGCTATCGGGCCCCTATTGGCGATCAATGGGCGATTGGGGATCGATGCATCATTTGAGCAGGGACCGACCGTCCCGGCATTCCCCTGTAGTCATACCACGAAATGCTCTTAGAACCCACAAGTTTTCTGAGAACAGAAACAATGTTCTTAGAACACAAACCCGATGTGTTAAAACAAGACAGTCCCAGCCAGAAATGCTCTAAGAACATTTCGTGGGAACCACGCAAGGTTCTTAGAACATTGTTTGGTAGGGCTATAGGCGAGCCAGGACGCTTCGCCACTGCTTGAATCATGCCCCCCCATGCCCATTCCCCCCCATCGTCGCCCCGACGTTGCCCCCCGGAGGCCGCTCCCCGGGGAGGAGGCCGCTCGGAGGCCCCCCAGAGGCCGCGCGGGCCTCGGGCGTGCTCCACGGCGGCGCCTGGGCGGCGCCGCGTCCGCTGCGCGGGGCCGCGGCCGGCGCGTCTTGGCCTGCTCAGGCCGCCGGGGGAGGGCAGCTGCGGGTCGGGCAAGTCTCCTACAGGCGGATCTCGGGAGAAGAAATGACAATGTCGGGGATGGACAGAACCCCTTTCATATAAAACGTGGTCTAATGGAAACGACCTGAGGGAGGCCCAAACCTGGCGGGCGCAAGCCCGGAAAAGAACGGCCACGGCGCTCGAGAACCGAAAACGGACAATTCACTAACCGACGTGTCACTGCTGGGGGTTCTGTCCAACCCGGACAATAGGCAGACAATGCTCAAACATGGTCAAAGAGTAATTCAAAAACGCCCCCAGACTGTGTTCGACTATTCTTGAGCATTCCTTCTGTAGAGGGACAGGCCCGACTTAAGGGCAGTTGGGGGGGGGGGGGGGGGGGGGGAAAAGGTGGGGCGGGGGCAGGGACGCCGTGCTCGGTCGAAAAAGGCGCCCTCCCACGGCGCTCCCGCGATGGTGAGGCACAGCGTGAGGCCTGGCACCGACCGAGCGCGCCGGCCTCCACAGGGACGGTGCCCGGGCAGGGGGCCTGGGGCCAGCCGGGGCGCCTGGGGCATCGGACAGCGACGACAACCAATGCCTACCTCCTACCTCTGGAATCAGGTCGGGCCTGTCCCCCTACAGGGGGGCTTGGGCGAAAAAATTCAACTACTCAAAACATACCCCGAAAATGCTTTAAAGTAATCCAGAAACAGTCCCCATACTACTTGTTTGACTATTTTTGAATCTCCCTCCTGTAGAGGGACTGGCCCGACTTAAGCCTACCTCTGGAAGGGCCCTGCGGCGCCACGAGAGCGCACGGTGCCGCCGAGAGCGGCGGAGGCCTGGGACAACACCAGGCCGAGGGCGGGGGGGGCGGGGGGGGGAGGGGATCGGATCGGATCGCCTGTGCGGGCATGCGCCCGGGCCCCTTAAGGGCGAGGCGGGTGAGGCCATGGCCTCGCACGAGAGGCAGCGCGCGTCGGAGGCTTGCTCAGGGTAATGGTAATGCGTACCTCACGGGTTGATGTTCCAATTGTTCCCACCCCTCTGTTGTAATCCGATGTAGTGACGTAGTTCCGTTGACGTCGTGGGGGGGGGAGAGGGGAGGGGGGCAGGCAAGGCGCGCAAGCGTGTTATCTGAGGGCCTGCCCCTCCCTCCCGTCCCTTACAGTCGGCCTTGACTGGGCAGGGCACGCGAGAGGACACAAGCCCCTTCCGAGGGCCACATCGCCACAGGAGTGTAAGAAGGCACGCGTCGCGAGGCACAGGACACAAGGGCACCCTTACGCTGGCAGGTCGACCTACTCATCCGGGCCGACTGTACCATGCAGGCCGAGGGTGGGGTGGGGGGGGGGAAGAGGGGATGGGGGGAAGGGTCGTGGCCTGAAGCCTCTGAGACTCCAGGGCGCGTGCACTGCTGGCATCCTGGTGCGGCTCGCGCGTGGGAATGTCCGCGGGGACGTGCCTCCTTCAAGGCACGCAGACGGGAAAGACAGGAGAAGGGACAGGTGGCAGCGGAGGGGCAGAGCGATGGGACGGCGCAGACAAGACGACCAGCAGCAGGAGTAAGAGGACTGGGGCAGGGCAGAGCATTGGTTTCCGCAGCGATGAGAGGATGGCGAGATGGCGCGGTTGTCGGCAGGGAAGAGGAGCACAAGGAGGGGTGAAATATCAGAGGAGCAATTCCAAAGCTGCTCCGGGCGGACAAAGCGGCTCCACCCGCGGCACGATCCCGCTTCGAGGGAACGCTCGTCGACGCGAGTATGGGCCGCGAGACCAGGCGATCCATCTTCGCCGAACTCTGTGCGACACAACGTTCCAGAATCGTAGACCGCCCCCCCCGAACACCGTTACATGCACACTCTCGACGGACCCTCTTCAGGACGGCCCACTTCGCCAGATCTAATGCTGGTTATCTTATTTGCCGCCTCTTGGTGCCGCTCATCCTCACGCTGCTGCTGCTGGTCCTCCTCTTCCTAGGGCCCCATCGAACAACGGCTCAACGATCTGACCGAGCACTGATCAAAGACGGGGGGCACACTGCGGGAGCAAAGGGTGCAAAGGACAATATGCCGTGGACGCTGGACAAGCCTGCCTCAAAAGAGGCAAGGAGCGGAAGGGAGGGGTCTGGGGAGGGGAGGGATTGAGGCGGGGATGGGAGGGGAAGGCGGCGGAGGGTAGGGACAGGAGAGGTGCAGGGGGGGACGGACGTCAAGCGGAGGTAGAGGGCAGGAGCTCCAGTGGCACCTCCGAAGTGCCACCAAGGCTCCTGCAGAACGAAGCAGAGCGCGCGCTCTGAAAGGTGCCAGGCCTCCCTGCGCATCGCACTGCGGCACCACCGTCGCTGCCACCAGCGGGGCACCGGCAATTTGGCTCAGGGCCAACGGCGGTACGCGCGGCGCTGCCTCGGCGACCGGCGTCGCCTGCGGCACTCGCGCTGGTGGCTGAGGCTGCTGATCGCAACAACTCACCTCACCTCCGCTGCTAACGTCGGGCTAATACCAAAAGAACGCTGAATCAGGAACGAAACCTCGCTTGGGTGCACGAGGGGCGCTGGAGGAACAACATGGAAGAACTTTACGAGGGAACGCCAAGCCTCTCCGCCAAATCCGAACTGCTCCTCATTTCACCGTCTTGGCTGTATCAAGCGAAGCGAATCTCAACAGCAAGCGCCTCCGCTGACACAGAGGGGGAAGCGGTGGGCGGGAAGGGAGGGCATGGTGGTAGAAGTGGTGTCGCCCGTGGGAGGTTTGAGGAGCACAGGGCCATGGTGATAGGGGGCTCTTCTTCTGACAGCATCATGGCTTCCTCCTTCGCAGCCGAGGCGACACTTCTTGACGAGGCGGGCCCAGTCCTTCCCAGCCTGGCGACACCCCGAGGAGACTGCCGCCACGGGAACGCCGCAGGCGTCTCGCTCGTTGTCGCGGCTCGTCGCCGCTCGTAGTCGAAGGCGACCACGACGGCCAAGACGACGACGACGACGACGACGACGACGACGACGACGACGACGACGACGACGACGACGACGACGACGACGACGACGACGACGACGACGAGCTGCGCGAATGAGCTGCTGGAGAAGTCCGGCGAGTGAGGGTCGGCGGCGCGCCCAGGGGGGGCAGGTGCGGCGAGAGCAGGGGCAGGCCTCCTCGGGAGGCGGCGGGGCTGCTCGGCCGCTGGCCGGCCTCCCGAGAAGCAGGCCCTGTCCTCCAGGGAGGCCCAGAGCACTCCTCGGAAGGCCGGAGGCCTTCCGAGCCCTCTGCGGAGGCCCGACCGCTCCGAATGCCCCCCGGGGCTCCCCGAAGAGAGGGAGAGGGAGCGGGGAGAGGAGCTGCTGCAGGGACGCCTCCGGGGCAGGCTCGAGCACGGCGTTCGGACAAGGAGGATGCCGACCGAGGGCAGCCACGAGTGGGAACAGGGATGGGGAGAGGAGGGAGGGGCGCGCAAGGAGGGGAATAGGGGTAATGTGGGAAGTAGGGCGGAGAGATCGCTTCCTGCCTGATTCTGGAATTATATGTCTGGAGCGGCGCATACCATATACATACACGCAAACACATATGCATATCTATGACATATAGACGTTCGAAATTCGACTGACCCACCACCCCTGATCAATCGAAGTGCACACGATTCCCGCCCCGCGAAGGTCCCTAGCAGAAGGCTGCCCAGCGAGAAGCAACTGCGGCCAGAGGAGTGCAGCATGCGGGGTGCGATATATCAAGTGGCTGGGCCTCCACGCGCTGGGGCCACAATTATAGGCACAAGTAACTGCACAAACAACAACTGTCGGAGGTCCGCGCGGATGTCTAGGATCTGTGCTAGACCCCTGTGTACAGCCGGACCTAGGCCAGGCAAACATCAATCAAGAACATGAGACCCTCCGTCGGCCAAAACAAACAGAACACCCGAGGGTACCATCCCTGGGATACAGAAGAATATCCAGCAAACACGACGAGCACCAGGGTACACTTCCCGAACCGACCTCGAGGACCTCGGCCAGACTGCTCTGGGGCTTCTGGGCTGGGACTCCATTGGGTGGAACTCCCTGTTACAGTTGTTTCATCCGCGCTGTGCGGCGCGCAGCACGCCGCTCCCGGCTGGCCGCCCTCCACGCGTGCCGCGAGCCCTCGGGCGTCCATTTCCCGTGCTTGTTTCGGTGTCGTGCGTTTCTTCTTTCGCATGGTGATCCGATATGCTCCTCGATGGCCCTCGCCGCGGTCAAATGCACACGCCCGAGCGATGCCGAGTCTAGACCGGCCGCGGGAGCCTCCCAGAGGGGCGCACGCCTCGACGCCGCGGCACACGAGGGCAGCCTTGCTGTCATCGCGCGCACCTCGACGAGGCCGAGGTGCTGGAGAACAGGAAGGGCCCAGTGGGCGGAGACGAGGAGGAGGAGGAGGAGGAGGAGGAGGAGGCGGAGGCGCGGGCCCCCGGCGCGGCACGCCACTTTGGAGACGATGGCGCTCACGCGCGACCTTTACGTGGGCAGCCTGCGCGTCAGCGTCACTGCAGACGACCCGCTTTTTCGGCATCGCTCATACGGTGACGGCCCTGAAGCGGTGGGATCTTAGTGGGGCGGGACACAACGCGAAAGAGAGAGAGAGAGAGGGAACAAGGGAGGCAGAGAAAGAGAGAGAGAGAGAGAAGGAGAGCGAGAGCGAGAGGAACCACGGGTAGAGAATGGGTTCCTGTCCTCTGGGTGGGAGGGCGGAGCTCTGAGGACGCCCCGGGACACCGCCCCCGCTGGACGGACCGCCTCGCGACGGGGGGGAGGGGCCCCGTCGGGACCCCGCGGCCTGCGGGCGCACCGGGGCACAGCGGAAGGCCCCGTGCGTGCAACATCTGCTTGACCATAAGAAACAAAAGCTGGTGCGTGAATGGGGCGCTGTGCGAGCTCGCCGCAGCATCTCGTCTTGGCAAGGACGGCGGGGGGGGCATCATGTGACCCGGTGTGTGCGCGTGTGTGTGTGTGTGTGTGTGTGTGTGTGTGTGTGTTGGTGTGCGTGTGCCAACCGGCGCCCCGCTATACCAAAACACAACAACCATGGGTGCGCACACGGGGGCTATGCCAACCATCCCACCTTTTGATGCGGTACTACTGGTGACTATGCCAATCACCCCCCAGTCAAACATCGTGGTGCGATATAACTGGTAGTATACCGCCCAATGTCCACGTTTCGCAATCGGCGCATCTGACGCGCCTGGTAGGCTCGGTGTAACCAACCCGCCCAGCGCACCTGGCGCGGCGCACCTGGCGCGCCTAAGGCCGACAGGGTGCACCAAGCTGGTGCCATATTTGTGCATGTCGCGCTAAGGCGGGCGCATTTGGCGCTCTTGGCGCACCTGGAGTGCCTGGCAAACGAGACAGGCCTGGTGCATTTGGCGTACCACCGAGCAGCGACGCTCAGAGGAGCTCGACTTATATGCCACGTCGTTTGGTGGCGAAGGAGCTCGGTGTATAGACGCCCCAACTTCTTGAACTGTGGGCTGCTGGAACGTCTACACACCGAGCTCCCTCACCGGATTCATTGGCTCCTTGGCCGACCAGACGCCGTGGTGTACACCCAAATCCCCAACGTAGTTTTGTTTAACGGCGTGGACTCCGAGAGGTGTCCAGTCCCCACTCCCTGAG